CAAGGATCTCGTTGGAAAAAGGCTAAATCCCAAGGTCAATATTCGTTCCGCTCTCCCCCGAGTATTGGCTCGACACTTTACTAATCTTTTGCATGTAGCTGTTCGCCTCGGAGCTAGTAAATTTTCTAGCGCAAAATTCGTATGCTTCGTTTATTCTTTTTTCGAGAACCATCTGTATAAGAAAAACTAATCAACATGTATATTTGTGTGTACAAAACAAGCAAATTAAAACAATGCATGTACATTTTCGATAGTTGTGACAAAGGAAGTTTCTTCGTCTTTCAGGCAGGGAGCTTGTAATAAAGACATGTAATCCTTCATCATAAATCTTCTATCTTCGAGAGAAAACCATTGTTTCATATGAGCCGATAGATCGATTATTTGTGATAAACCATAGTGTAATACAGCTTTTTCTATAGCTGATAATTTCTTTTTCTTTTTCGTTGCCTCCGCATTTTCAGATATTTTCTTAGCGAAAATATCGCCAACATTTAGATTCGAGGGCAAGATCCAGCTACTTTGATTGTTAAGAATGAGATCGAGAGTTTCTTCTGGGGAAGGGAAACCTTCTTCGTCATCGTTATCATCATTATACTCTTCAGTGGAATCATCATTATCCGACGGTAGCAGATTCAGGGGAGTCGCCTTCTCAATTTTTGCACCACCAGGCAATGTGTCCTCCTAAAAAATTGAATCGATTGCCTTCTGTCTGTGAAAAGCGTTGTTTTTTTTTGCGGACAATATTTAAGTTATATACCGACCCTTTTTCTTGTTGACTTCCTTTTTGGTGGTTTAGTTGTCTTTTCACTTGAGGACAAGATCGATGGATGATGCATTTGGTGTTCGGGAGTATGTGGTAGTTCATAATCTACTTGGAGACATCGACGTTTGCTCGAACAATCTTCAAGATCCGTATCTCCCAAACATTTCGCAAATTTACTTCGCACAATTAGCCCTTGTTTTGTAATCTCATCGCGTAATATCCGTTCTTCGAATGTCGAGGAAACAACGTCGGTGATATGTTCTTCCTGAAAACAACAAAAATATATTAAGGATTATCTCGTCACGTGCATCTTCATAATATTTCATACCATCAGAGCCATGCGTTCAGCTACTGCAGTAAATTTCCGTTTTTGTGACGAAGTAATACTTTTCCAGAATTCTTTAACCAGCTGTGATTTCTTTTCGGTCTATTACTATTAAATGATGCGGTTATTAGTAATATCAAAAAAAAAAAAAAAAAAAAACAAAAACAGTATTCTGGAAAATTAACTAGAGTCAGGACGGAACCACCGCGAACCGTAGCTCATCACTACCCGATCTTAGTCAGGAAATGTGGGTGGTTGAACGCAGGTCGGACCCCATCCAAAGAACTATTGTCCCTTAGACCCATCCACTGACAACCAGAAAGAAAATTCATAGACAGGGTGGAACCACCACAAACCGTAGCTCATCACTACCCGATCTCAGTCAGGAAGTGTGGGTGGTTGAACGCAGGTCGGACCCCATCTAAAGGATTATTTTCCTTTAGACCCACCCACTGGCATACAAAAAAAAAAAAAAAAAAAAAAAAAAAAAAAACTTAACTTGAAAAGTAACAAGCGCATTTCCAGCCTTTTTTATTGTAGCCTCGCTTGCCTCTTTCATATTCAGTATAGTTGAGAGGCCTCGAGTGTACAGGGAGTGTTCTCTATGCTTGTCTAACTGGAAATCAGCACATTTTTGGCGGTATAATAGATATTCTGGCAAAGACCATTCGTTCTTTAAAGTGAAATACTTGTCTATTTCAAGAGTAGAGGTAGCTAGTATAAATGGAAAACGAAAAGAATGACATATGGGCGCGTTTGATTCAACCCCCAAATCTGATTCTGATCACTGATTTGAGCCAATCACGATTGAGGATCAGAATGAATTTTTGAAAAAAAAATTTTCCGACAAGAACCTAACAATGTAAACAAAGTTTAAACGTAAATACAGTATGGTGTTCATTGCACTGGAAATTATATGATACAAATATAGCAAAATTTTCTTGTGGAATCTGTGGAAAACTAACAATTTCTGGGACGGGATGTTGTCCTAAGCACGCAAAGAGGGTTTATTTTCGAAATTGGTATGAGAAACAAAAGGCACAGAGAATAGAAGCTGATGCGTAATTATACTCACTTTTGCCGAAGGTAGTCACTATATAACTATAGATATCAACTTTAAGCGTCACAAAAATGGTCTTCGTAATGGATTTTTTTACAAGTATCATTTTTAAGCGTCACAAAAACCCCCTTGTAAGATATATCGTGAATTATCTTATTGAATAGACATATATATTAACAGATATCAAATAGGTCCTGAGTATCCTGTGAGATAGAATTGGGAGAAGTTTCTATTTCATCGGGCGAGAGTTTACTATATCGCCAATCTTCCCCATTCACCCAATCTTCACCCGTTTGGTATGGTGGCAATTTGGGAACATTCTCATAGTCAAATGCTCCAACTAGATGATAATGTGTATGCATGTTATTTGTACCTTTGAGCTTCAAACCGTAAGTTGCATAAAGTGCTGAATTTAATAAACCAAGTTTTGCTCTAAGAGTTTTTAATCCAGATTTTTTGGCGCGTCGGAATGCATCTGTATTATCAAAAACCCGAGCCATTTTAGGAACTAATTCTTGGAGATATTTTATAGATTCAGGTGATTCTAACCGTGTTTTAACAATATCAGTTTTATATTTATTTCTATCATCGACTATCTTTAACGGGTGTACAAATTTTTAATAATTCAAGACAAATTTGATGTTTTTCAGCTCTAGTAACAGTTGCGAGCCTATCATTTCTATAATCTTCACGGGTAATTGCCTCAACTGCTGTCTCATTATTAGTGCCTGCATCTCGTAATTTCTGGAGAGCTCTAAACCAGCGCATATGATTATAATTTCCAAACTCTGAGATAAATTCTTCAGTCAAAGACTCAGGTGTTATATTATAGCAATTTACAATATGTTGCCGGTCTAATGCTCGCATTTCTTCTAAAGTTTTCTTTGGTTTATTTTCTAGATGCTCAGCCGTTTCACGGTTAATAATATTTGCATTTGCAAGGTCTGAAATTTCCTCTGCTTTAATAACCGAAGAACATCCCTTAACTGTTTTAGTTAATAACACAGTATTATCTTCAGGTTTGGGAGTTGGTTCTATTACTGAAACTACCATACCTGCCTTTCGGAGAAAATCAACCATTCTCCAACCAAATAGACGTTGAGAGCGGAATTTTTCCAACATATATGCCACCCATAATCGGATAGTTGGGACATCTTTATTTCGAACAATAGTATCTATATTTGGAAATATTCCTCTATTCTGAAGCTCTTGAGGAAGACATCCGCGTTTTGCTTCTGTTAACCATTGAAACAACCCCTCTTCTGTAGTTGGGGCTTTAGATGCCCTTTGTTGAATATAACATATATAATCTTTAATGCATCGCATGCGGAATAACATTTGATTTGTCCCAGCATTTGTTTCTATATAACTACTGAAGATACAGAATGCTCGCTCAAACTTAGGATTGTTTCTATATAACTACTGAAGATAAAGAATGCTCGCTCAAACTTAGGATTGGTGCAAGAAACCCCTATCTTTAATGTACTGGTATATACAACGAGATCAATATTTTTCCATGCATTATCTACATCTCTAAAATCTCGAGTTTTCTCTATTGGTTCTGACTTACCATGATACTCTTTTATACGCAATTCCGGGAAATCAGCTCTAAGAGCTCGAACAATACCCTGAATATTTCTCCTCTCATAACAGATAAGAGACGCACTTTTTCGCTTCTCAAAAGGTAATGATGTCATTTGCTTGGCCCATTCCCAGAGTTCTATCAATACAGTTTCTTTATCAGAAGCTAGACGGAATGTTTTACCTTTTTGGGGCTGGTATGTATTGTGGATAACTGAATATTTCCCATTTGGTCGAAGTCCTTTAATCCATTCAATATTAAGATCAGTGAGATCATTGTCTAGTACAATAGCTCTTTCTGCCTGAGTAATTAATTCTGAGAAATTGGCAAGAGATATAGACAAACCACTTAAACGAGTTTGTGTTTGCGAGATAACTGATACAATCTCATCTAACGCTAGGATGTAAGAATATGCAGGACATTTACATTTTTTATCACATTTACATTTGTTAGTAATGCGGTGTAAACTTTCTACCTGACATACTACCCTTTGATGCTCAGGAATATTTAAATTTTCTATAGCATATGTTTTCCCTGTTTCCCAAGGCGATCCTATATAAATATCATTTTCTTTAGGTAAAGGTTTCACATATCT